CTCTTCCAACAGCTGATTAGAATACCCAAGGACTTGACATTTGTCTGCAGCTGCCCACACAAATAAAGGAACTAGAATTGGACTGCACCCAGGTCATGTCTTCTGGCACCTATGGAAGTAATGATGTGCTGTGCTAAGCTGGACTGGGAAAATTACAGATAACAATGCCTCATCTACTAGGCAAAGGGCAAGAAATAATGCTGGTGATGAAGACATATAGAACACATGACATGGATGGAATAGAATTACCCTAATCCCTAACAAGATGATGAAATGTGGGCTCTGGCCTAGGAAGAGAGGAAGGTGGAAGACACAAAGAATATATTATACTCATAACACAGGGATAGGGAGAAACCTGGAGTGCTGGAGTGCTCACACAGCCCATGTGTTTATGCTGGAGGCTGGATGGGGCTGGCATTTCAACCTGTATGTGGACACCATGAGGGGTTCTCCAGGGGCTGTTGTAATCCATGGATATTGGATATATATATATATATATATGAGCCCTGGTGAGCATGTGGGGAGGAGGACACAGCACTGTTTGCAGCTGTGATGCAGAGGGCAGCTCTGCATAGCTGCCATACGTGGAGGCCTGGTGCAGGCAGGGATGCAGTTATCTGTGGGCTTTTCCTCTAACCTGGACAAAATTGCTGCTTTATAGATCATGCAACTAGCCTGCCTGCCTGTCTGGATTTGCAGATACTTTAGCAGAGAAGGGATAAATTCAAATCAGAGAACAAGTATGTTCTTATTCAATGTACATCTTGTGGTTTTGCATGTTTTTCCACCTGAAAATATTCCTCTGAAGTTTCCTTAGTGACTAAGCCAAAATGGATCAAAGAGGTGTTTGATTTACAGCCTTAGAAAAAACACTTCTCTGTTCTTTCTCCACCATTATCAGCTCTCTGTGGTATCCAGCCAGCACCTTCCCTCACTGATCCTTACCTGTTTCTGGCCACATCACTCCTTGGGCAGGTCCTCTCCTGTCGAAACAGCCTTTGGCTCTTCCTTGCCATCTTTTTTCATGCTCCTTCAAACCACTATCCTAGCTGTATCCTTCAGACAATATTTCCTCCTCCTGTGTCAACTGTCCCCACATCTTTGCCATCCTGTGGGCTGCCATTCGTGGTACTGAGAGGAAGCCATCCTGTGTGGAGGTGATTAAGAGTGACTAAATCCTGTGATCTGTCCACCAGCAAGAGAGAGTGTGTTTCTAATATTGCTGCCCAGATTTATTGGTTTAGCCTCCTTCCAGATGAACTCCCTTTGGTCCCTCAGCACAAGAGAGACATGGAGTTCCTGGAGCGAGTCCAGCAGAGGACAACAAAGATGATGAAGGGACTGGAGCATTTCTCTTATGAGGAAAGGCTGAGGCAGCAGGGGCTGTTCAGACTTGAGAGGAGATGACTGAAAGAGGACCTCATCAATGTTTGTAATCTGAAAGGGGTGTATCAAGAGACTGGATTCAGGCTCTTCTCGGTGGTGCCAAGCAACAGGACAAGAGTCAATGGGCAGAAAATCATGCACAGGAAGTTTCATCTGAATATAAGAAGAACGTTTTTTTGTGGTGTGGGTGACTGAGCACTGGAGAAGATTGCCCAGAGGCTCTGTGGAGTCTCCGTCACTGGAGATATTCAAGAACCATCCAGACACAATCCTGTGGCATGTGCTCTGGGATGACCACTCTAGAGGAGGGAGCTTGGACCAGATGACTCACTGTGGTCCCTTCCACCAGACCCATTCTGTGATTCTGTGAACAGAGGTGTCAGACAGCCATGCCCTTCATCCATTTATGATAAGGAGGACAATTGTTCCTACCATATGTTGTTCTAAATCGTCACTGTTTCCTCCCTGTCCTGGGAACTCAGGCTCAGATCAGTGCTGGACTTCTGTGCATGGGATGGGATCTGACTTAGGCGCCATAAAGTTCATCCTGTGACAGCTATTCTGGGAAATATCTGAGAGATTTAAAAAAAAAAAATATTCAAAGCTGGCAGGATCCCTAGAACAAAGGAAGAAGGTCAGTCCTGCCCTTGCTGTGCTGTGGTTGACCTCTGGGTGCATAAGACACCTGGGCTGCATGGCCTGGGAGACGTCTCTTCCCTTGGTGCTGGCAGTCAGAGGCCTCTCAGCACCTCCCAGCCACTGCCAAGGGCAGGAGCAACGCTGACAAGGCAGACTCACACGCACTCATATGCAGTGTCTGCTCCTCTTCTTCAGAGTGGGTGCAAATGTTCTTCAGTCCTTCTGCAGTCAGATTCTCTGCAGCTCAGCAGTCCCCCACAGCCAGATCCATAACTTTGTCTGCAGTGGGACTCAAGTGACAAAGCTGAGGCACAGATTTTCATATACAAAGTCTTGGTTCAACCTGTAGCAAATGGGGGCTAGTTCACCTCTAAGCAACACTCCATTGTTTAATGTCACGCACAATGGTTCAGGGGAATAAAATAAAAAAATGTTAGTCCTCTCGCTGAACCTCCAAGTCTCTGTAACATTCTGCTTCTGGAAATGTTCAAATCCTTTCTCACCAAAGATGGATATGAAATTGCATCTTACACAACACAACCCAATTCCCTGTTCCCTGGGGTAAAGGCAGCAGCTCTGTCACGCCTCTGCAGCCTCACTTTCCTGTTAGGCAAATTGAGCTTCCATCTTAGATACTTCATATTCCTTTGAGTTCAGCTGCTGCTGCAGAGCAGGTGTTCTCATACCACAGTATGTCTGCAGTGCTGAGGTGAAAGGGAACACCTTCATCCTGCCCTCTGTCAATTTGCATCTAGCATTTCCTCCATTTGCAAACCAAACCAGCCTTCCCAGACAGCTCAGAACATCTGGGCCACATACATCACAAATTCAGGTCAGAGATGACAACAGGGCACAAGACCCAAAAATAAAACAAACAAGAGATTGACCTATGCACATGATTCTGCCTCTGGTTACTACCTCAAATGCCCTATTGCAGTGGCTAAGTCCACCAAAACTGCACTGCAGAAGTCTTTGAGCACAGGGATTAAGGCAGACCCCCTTATTCCACTGCCACCATATTTGTGCACAGGGTATCCTGTGTGCAGCACCCCAGGGCTGTCTGTGCTGTGTAAGTCCTGAAAAGTACTGCAGAACAGCTGGAGGAGGAGGAGGCTCTTCCTGTGACTTGCTTGTGGCTCACAGGTTTGTTGGTTATATGCAGATCTCTGTAAGGTGCAGAGGGAATTAAACTCCCCAGTGTACATAAGCTCCTGAAAAGTTATCCCTATAATTAGCTATGTACACAGTGAGCACAGTCACTGGGGACACTGCTTTTCCTCTCAGACTTGTTTTCAGAACCAGAACTTCATTCATGTCCTATTTTGTTTCCCTGCAGCACTAAGAAAGAGTCACGTCGCTGTGCCCAGTTTCTGCAGCTGGCCAAGACACAGACTTCAGGTACTCGTGCAGCAGGTCAGAGCCCCCGCACTCTTTGATCTGGATGACAGACAGACAGATCAGTGCATGGCACTGAAAACACCTACAGTGCTAAGACTCCTCACAGATGTATCCTCAGTAGGCCTTCCCTCTCTACCATGCTGCAGTCAAAGGAATAAACCCTTCCTAGAGAGGAGCAAGCTATTGCTGTAAAAAGGAGCAGTTTTCCAACTGAGGTAAAGTGAGCAGGGCTCTTGGCAGGAGATACAGCCCTGCACATTCTAGGACTGGCATCAAACCAGGAGTTCAAAATCATCACACATCACTGACATGAGGATTCTGGAAGGCAGGTGTGAGTTTGCACTGCCTGGGTTCTGGGCCAGTGGGAGGTGAGCCATCTCTTATCCTCAAAGCTGTAGTGTGACAGCATCCTGGATGGGGCCCTCTGGCTCCCCAATGCTTCAGAGGGGCTGATCCCTGTGCTCACACCTTCACACAGATCAACACCAAAATTGCTTCATTCACAAGTCATTCCAGTCCAGTGCTAAAATCTCTGCCAATACCCAGAGCAAACAGCAAGGTATTCTGACGCCTTAGACCCTTCCCCTCTCTCTGGGGCACAGGCTTTAGCTCTTAGCATCTATACTGTACTTCTGTAGTCTTTTTTCAATGCACAGAAGCCACAAGGGCATCCAGCATAATTCAGACATATATTTTATATTTACCCCTGTACACAGACTCATTCAAAAGGTCATCTGGTGCAGACAGTTCTCTTCCCTGGCCATACAGATGGTGAGAGCATGCCTTGCTCTGATCCACAACAGCCTCTCCTGGGTAAGATTACTGATTGCAATATCTTAGGCTAATTCATTTTTCCTGCAACATCTCAGACCTGCTTATCTAGTGCTGTTCTGATCCCAATGCTTCACAGATCTCTCCTATCCTGGTAGAAATATCTATTGATGATGGGTCCATTTCCATAAGGAATGATTCTTAGCAACCAACCTGACTGGTTAGGTATTGCAGTGGTTAAACTCAGAGAAAAGAAGTTTTTTGAGCTTATTCACTCATAAATAGAGACTTTGACCTTAAGTGAAAGACAAGGGGAGTGGGAAATAACATTTGCATAAAAATTCAGACCATTAACTTACTGCTTTATTTAGTAAAATAAATGGAAAATTTCATGTGATATCAAGCAACAAATCTGTTTGTAGTATCAGGCAAGGCTGACAGTGGATCCCAGCATGGCACCAAAACCCAAAAGAATGAGGGAAACAGATCCCTGGAACTACTAGCTTTACTTCCGATATTGCCATTTCACTGTGCCACCCTTTGCTCCAACAGTGGCACAGAAAGACATATTGTAGGACAATACCAGAGATCCTGAAGTACTGAAAAAAGAGCTCTTAAGTCAACAAATGAGAAGAGATAGGTGTGAATAGCTTCCCGGAGAAGACAGGCAGCATGTATGTACATAGAATGATAATGGGAATCCATGACTGATTTGGCTCAGGAATTGCTGAGCTGTAGGGCAGAGTGAACTCTTCATAGACCAGAAACAGACTCTGGCTACAGTCATCTTTTTGGCTGAGAAAGAATCAGAGCTCTTCATTGATGGGCTTCTCCTCAGATTTGTCTTCTTTCTAAAACACATTAGAGGCGTGAAATAAGTTTTGACATTACTTGGTTTCTCAGCATAGGGATAAAGAAAACAAAATAATTCAAATGCCTCCTTCTGCTGTCTATGCCACTGCCGTATCTCATTCCTGTCACACAAAACAAAGACCCTGTGCTACAGGAGGATGAATTTTGACAGAGAGAGAACTTATAACACTGCATGAACATGAAGATTTAATTGTGTCTCTCCCAGCAGAGATCACTGGTGGAGTCCTAAGGCCCTATCTGTACACTCTGTTCTGTAGTCTTCCTGATAGATTTAATTCCTATCCATGCCACTGGTCTCTCTGACCTGCTCTCATATGCTGCCATCTACCACCTCCCTTCTCAGCATCCAAAAGCACCCTTCAATTTGTCTCCCTAACTGCTGTTCCTAAAAGATAGATGCTTCACTGAGACCTTCATACAGCTGCAGAGATCAGTGAATTCTTCTTGCTGTAGACTAGAAGGCAGAAGTCACTGAAGAAAGAGGCTCTGCCCTAAATCTAATGTTTCTCTGATATTCAGATGAAAATGTACATGAAAGAGAAAGGAACAGGGTTAGGGAGGAGTTAAAGGAACTAAAGTAATCTTCTTCAAGAGCCTGGTAAACAACAACATCAGGACCCTCTTTACCTTTGGCATTCTTTGTAGGAAACGATTACAGAAGTCCTGTACACGCTCAGTGGAGATGTCACCCACAGTCAACACTTCGTGCTCATCATCCGGTGTGTGGAATATAGCCAGAGCTGGCAGCTGGGACTTCTTCAGTTGGAAGTACGACAATACTCGTTCATTGCTTTTCAAATTGCTGTCTAACAGGATAAAGAGAATCTGTGATGGAAATTGGAAAGAAAACATGAGAAAAAAAGAAGCTGAGACAGATAACAGATCCCCACACAGTGATCATATGAAGATTAACAGTGATATTTTTATAAAGAGTTTGAGAAAACCACCCATACTCTGTTAGGACAACCCTTTCCTTGGCCACTGTCTAGCAGCTCCATGCAGTAAATTTGTCTGTATTTTAGCAAGTCCAGACTTACACTACCAAACAAAATGTCTTCTTTCACTTTCTTTAATAATATATCTACAGAATGACAGGAAGGCAGTCACCACTTCTATTCTCTTAACAGTTAGGGAAACAAGATGTCTTTTATCTTAACAGCAGATGTCAAAGAAGCTGAACCCTTTACTTGCATGTTATTTGGATAAGATGCTCACATCCTTGCAAGACCCAGTGTAAAAAGGGGCTTTGGTGTGGGAAGAATCAAATTCAATTGCAAGAATGCAAGAATGAAGTATAAGGCATCAGAAACTTGCAAGGATAAGAACATGAGAGTACCAAAACCAAAGGACATATTGAAGTGAGCAGAAATAAGGGTGCAAGGATTTGGGAAACAGAAGTTGTTGACAAGACACCAATGTCCATACAGCCCAGCTCAGTGAAACATTCAGACCTGAGGAGAGAAGCTCAACATGAATAAGCCAGGATGAGAATGACCTTCAGTGATTATTATAAAAATTAAGAAAGAAAATAAATATAGCAGTTAAACAATTTAATCAGTGATCTCATTAAATAGAATCCCTCAGCAGATGAGATCCAAGTCAATGAAAAAAACACCCAGCTAGCATGTGTAATTTTATCTTCTTTTTACCCTGTGTGATCTACTGGGCCTAGCATATTCAGTGTACCTATGGACAAGGCTATGGCTTCACTCACACAAGGAGTTTAAAAAAAAAGCAATGTAATGTGAAGATTATGTGCCCAGTTCCCAGGCTGTGACTCATGTTTTTCTTTCTTTTCAATGAAGAACACTCAAGTTAGTTCCAAACTTGTTTTCTTCTCTAAAAATAAACTTCATAAATACTGGATTTTTTACTTATTAATGGTCTATAAAAAACAAATATATCTGCAAACTTTCCTAGGCGACAGCCTATTGGGAAGGAGGGATAGGTAGGCTGCTGTAAGGTTTAACTTCAGTTTTATAGTGAAATAGAGAAGAGGAACAGCACCCTCACTGGATATGTGATATTCACCATTTGTCATTTTTCTTCCAAAAGTCAACTGTGCCCCAAGAGCAAAAAGCTAGTGAGCAGACAGGTGGTGGGGTGCTTCTCCCAGAGCACTTAGTTCATCTTTTTGCAGGATAAAACACCAAGCTAGAAAACGGTCACATATTTAAGGTTCACAGGTCTAGGGACATGATCTGAGAGGCTTTCAGATGGAACAGCAGTATGCAATGTTTTAGGGCTCTCTTTTCAACTAGAAAGCTGGAAACAGAGGCCAGTGTTGGAGGGAAGCACTTTCAGAGGGTCAGTACAGTAAATGGTAGTGTGTTTTCATGGTGCATTCAACAGATTTTGGATTTCTCTATAAGAGATTGACTAGACAACAATATTTTTTTAATCAAATGTTAAAGAAGAAGTAATTAAAATTAAAACTAGTATTGTTGCATCACTTCCTATACAAAATCTCCACCACCTTTAAAACAGATGAATAGCATTTTAAAATAGTAATATGAATAAATGTTAGTCAATATTCTTCACCTCATCAAGCTTCTGGACTTTGCAAAACACTCAAAACTAAAAAGCTGTACATATTTTATCCATGAATACCAAGTAAGATTAAGAGTAAGAATAAAAGAGTAGAAGGTTGAGGTTTAGAACTCCAAATGCCTTCTTCCTCACAGGAACAAACAGAACTGCACAATCTGGCCCCTCAGCTAGAAAGACTGAGATATCATTGTCATTCAGGGTTACTGACTTGGATCTCTCTAATGACTCCCATGAGGCTCACAGAGCTACAGTGTGCCAAAGTACAGCAAAGTTTTCTTCTCTGCCTGTATTCAAGAAATACAGGAAAGAGAGCAATTGTATTTGGCCACTGCAGCTCAGAAGAAGATGACTTTATGCCTATGAGAATGGTGCATTCCTGGGAGGTCTGTGACATGGGATGCATCCTCCTTGGGAAGGGCCCACCACGTTCCCTATGCTGGCTGTGCTCCAGGAGTCCTGTGCTCTGTATGATATCAAAGTCATGCCCGTGAGGCAGAAGGTAAGATGTGCTGGCCAAGAGGCCACAGGCATTGGAAGCCTGATCTCCACAGCAGCTGAAAACCATGGAGGTTTCTCAGTTGTCACATTTCCATGACAAATGCCATCTTGTGGAACTAGAGGATTTAAGGAGGAATTTATTTTGTTTTGAGATTCCCAGTAAGCTCCAATCATAAAGACTGAACTCAGTAACCATGGAAAATTAGATTGACCATGAGGCAGAATTCACATTGCCTAACCTCTGTCATCCAGATCCTAGTCTTGTCTCAGCCAGTCATCTACATAACCTCTACAATAAACAGTGACAGGCACTTTATTCCACTTATTTTAGAAGGCAAGGAAGCATATGCCTGGCCTTCTCTTTTAGTGATGAAAAGAGCCTAAAACCTTTACTTAGATGACTTACCAAAGCAACAATTCACCATAAGCAAATCCCACTTACAATGGCAACTTTAATACCACTGCTAAAGATCAGTCAGTTCCATTCCAAACAGAAAGTTCACTTCCCATTTCATATCCTCCTGTAAAATAGCTGGTTGGGTGTTTTAAATTCTGATATTATTTACATGAATTCAGACATCTGCTGCTTCAGACAGTGAAGGATATCCTGAATGAATGAGAAACCCCTGACATTCTGTGCACTGTCACTTGCAATAAACCACCTTTCATAAATTTTGTATGCTGCTGCTGTCTTGGTGTCTTGACAACTTGCCTAGCCCAGTACTTTTAAGGACATCAAGTTTATGGTAGATACTGAGATATGGAATGGTATTATTGCCCAGGGAATTAAAGGTAATTGAAAATATCACTGCAATGTTAGAAACCAATTTGCCATTGCTTAGTTTTTCCTCCAACAAAGACAAACAGAAAGGATGGTCAAGCCTTATATCCAGTGTTTGACTTGGAACTTCAGAGAGCTGCAGTTCACTCTTTTGTATAAGCAAAAAGATCAAATTCTGACATCTGAGTAATTTCTTACATCATAGTTCATCAAAGCAAAACAAAAACATCAGTCATTAACTTTTAAAAAAAGACTGCTATAAAGATATCTATTAAGTGAGATAAAAAGTCCGTATTTACAGGCTTTTCTGTTTATGGCTAAAAGAGGCAGCTCTAAATATTATCTCTCTGAGTTCTGGAGCCATCAGTGTTTGACAAGAAGAATAAAAATTGTACAAATTACTGTCTGCAAGAGAAAGGGCATAATCTTTTCATTTCTGTGGAAGAACTCCTGAAGGACACTAGGAGTTTCTCAGAATGCATTTCTAAATGGACCCACATCTAAATAAAAAGGGAGTTTACAAACATCCCTACCCAAATAATTTTAACATTGGAAACCAATTATGTCAGCTGCAACAAAAGCTGCTTTTATTACTCCCAACATCACCTTGTTGAGACTTCTGCAAACACCCATGAGTTACACCAGCTGTAATTATCATGTTATACTCTGATACTGTGGAAAGAAAACTGAATATAAGTATTCTAGTTTGGCTCAGCAATGCAAACCCGGACATCTCCTTTCCAGTAAATTTTCTTTCCTTGCCTGGATTTTTGGCAGTACTTTCTCAAATAAGCACATATTTGATTGAAGATCTAAGAAGACTGGTGGATTTACTCCTGCAGCTGCAGTGCTTGAACTCTGTTCACTGTTGTCCACCCACAACAGTTTCTCAAAGTGTGCTAGAAAACGACCATATTTCTTCCTATTGTTGTCAACTTCTTCTTTAATATCATCTACCATTTGCATTTTCCTCTCCAACATTTTACAATGCTTAGGTTCCACAGTAGAATCTAGAAAAATCTTGACTGCCTCCAGGCAGTCAGTCTTCTTCCAGGTGCAGTTCAGACTGTTTTCAAATGAAAGTCCTCACCATCCTGCCCCATGGATCCTCCAGCTGAAAATTTCAGCTGCCCATCAGGCAGAAATTAAAATATCATAAAACAGAGGTGAAAGGACCATAATACAGAAACTGGGAAGTGAATCACTTCCTAATAGTCCATTTAAAGTTGGACTCAAACATCTTAGAGGTGTTTTCCAATCTAAGTTATTTCACAATTCTATGATTTTTCTTCACTCTTTAGAGTTAGTCACTCAGCAGCAGCAGCAGCTCCTCTTCATCCCTTCATCCAAGCAACAAGTTTCTCTTTTCCCTCCCACTGGTGATGACAATGACAAGGACTGCTCTTCCATCAGCGTGCAACAGAGATGTGTGACAGGATCAATACCCCTTCCCCTGACTGGGATCCTTTTCAAGGCTCTGTTTGTGTTCTGCACTGGCTTGTAGAAATGCTGCAACACACACCAAGTATCCCCACTCTGTTCTGGCACTCTGTAGTCACTGTAGAGCAATGCTGGATGCAGTGGTACATGCTCACAGGGAGTCTGAACATCTCTGCACTGCACAGCAATGATTCCTTGCTCAAACCACTGGTAGCACTAACTTGTTTCACCACTGTTCAACAGGACAGGAATTATTCACTGGCAATCCTGAACAAAATTCAAGTCAAGAATCTTTCATTTATTCTCAGACTATCTGTGAGCCACTGGAAGGTAAAATCTAATCAATAATTATTTTGAAGCAAACCTCAATTAACTTGGTAGTTCCAACAACACATAACTTCACAAAGGAAAATTAGCTAGCAGAGATCTTCATGGCATTGTGCAGTGGCTGCCATTGATACCCAAACTAATTCAGGTCTTTCTATATGACAGAGCAATGGGGACGAACCTAAGTGGGCATGTCACTCTGCTTACTCCTTACTATCCAGACCTAAAATTCAAGCAGAGGGATCTTAGCTCTCTCCTGCTGCTTTCTAGGAGGGCAGCCCAAAACACAGTTTACTCCTCAGAGTGCCACTCCATCAGGAAAAATAACTTATTAGACTCTAGGTCACTTCATCTCTGTATCCTCAAGTACCACAGCAGTAAAGTGGAAATAATTAGTCAAATCCCCACATCTTTCATGTTTATATTTTACTCTGGCAAACTTGTTGACTGATTTAGTTGGAAACTTGCCTACGCAAATTTAAAAAAAAATAGATTTGGCTTGCTGAGAATTCATAAATTGTCTGAACTTCATTACAACATTTTATCCAATGTTTTGTAAAGTTTTTCTAGGAAAATTATAGCTATTTATTCAGATCTAGGCAAGTCACATGAAAACTAAATGCAGCTGCATCAGCAAAGGATAGTGATACTAAACAGCATTGTGTTAGAAGAAATAGCTGCTAGGTGGACATCTGTATCAGACTCTGCTCATGGAGAACAGTGGTAATGGTGTCACTTAAACACACATCTCAAAATAGATAAATGGAATTTTACAGATAAATGAGTTTGCTTTTGATTTTGATGCATAGTTTCTGCCTAGTCTCTTGCCAATGGTGAGGAAAGATGGAAAGGTTCCTGTAAAGTAGTCCTGCCATAAGCAAGTCTCAAGACTTCTGAGATTGCATGGTTCTGAGGTGGTCCCTGAATTCGAAGTTGAGGGTATATTTGATTTATAATCTGTTCCTTCAGTACCAAAACCAGATGCATGCAGATATTCTAGTTATCAGATCCCAAATCTTTCCAGCTCCACACTTCTCATAGAGGAAGACCTCTTTATGCCTCTCAGCTCATCCTTCCCCACTTCTGTGATATTCTGTCCCCTCCCATCTACCCTTCTCCCTTGCCACAAAGGCTTTCCTGTTGCTCCCAGTCCTCCTCTGCTTCCAAGTTCATTTCTCTGTTGCTTGGACAAAAATTCCACTGTAATCCAGTTGCTGGCAGAGAAGCAGACATCAGATGATTTACTATTTGGGGAGCTCTATTCCCAGAGGGATGAGATTCAGGCAAAATGTCTCTGAAACACCTCATCTATTTCATCACCTTAGTGTGGGAAATCTAAGCAATCAGTTTGCAGTGCCTTTAAAATAACCATTTCCAGAAGTGTATGGGTTAAGAAGCACTGACATTATTTGCTCTCTGGTCACTTATATAAGTCTCCTTGGTGTTCTGCAGGCTGTAGATACAAATTCCCCTCTCATATCAGTGGAGTGCAACTGTGGCCAGACTGAAGAGCAGCAGCTGTGTATCCTCTCCCAGTACAAGGGAACAAAACTGGATTAAAAGCAACAAAGTACGTGATGTTTCACCAGGAGAGCAGAGAGCGCCATACAGAGGGTATTTTCCCTGTGAGGTGGCAAACTGGCAAAAGGTGAACAGAACCAACCCATCCATTTAATTATCCAGATTATCCTCTTTTCCTGCTACTTGACCTTTGCTCTCATAATTCACAGAGGAGATTATTCCCTTCCCATTCATGGCAGAAACCACTGGATTTTTTCCTCCCTAATAGCCCCTCTTTCTTTGTTTGGACTTACCTTCCCCTTGTAGAGCTCTGCCACCGCCCGAAACTTGCGCATTCGCTCAGGGTGCTTTGGAGACATCTTGTCTGTGATCAGGAGGAGGTTAAACTGGAGTGAGCTCTGCATCACACCTATTGCTGTCTGCCCAGCACAGAGAGAGAAACACGGGCAAGGAGATTGAGAGTGCTCAGTTGGCATTAGATGCAGTGTCAGTGGGATATAAATCCACATGGCTCGGCTGTGGTTTCTTTGCAAATCAGCATCACAAGCAGGACAGATTTCTTTAAAGCAGGGGGGATCCAATCTGGGTTCTTTGCAAAAGCTCTTAAACTCCTGGCTTTGCTTATTTCCCAGACAAGAGTCTGAAGACCACAAAGGTCCATCTCTGGTCTTAAGATAGTTAGTGACTAAGCAAGAGGAGTAGGAGTATGGCAGAATACAGGATGCTGAAGACTAAAGGAAAGATGTGAAGGGCAAGGCCAGCAAACACTGAATATAAGGATGTCCTAAATTTCTGAGGTCCAGCACCTGTGTGAAATACAAGCAAGAATGTGGGAAGGATTTGTGGTGTCAAGGTTGGTGTTTTTCCTTGTTTTCTTTATTTAGTGTTATACTGTATGTAGGATGGGGATGAGTCTACATTTTCAGCAACCTGGTGGCCTGGACACTCCTGAGTGCTGAGGGTTAAAATTGTCTCTGCTGTCCCACAGTGAGAGAAGACCCTGGGCAAAGGCCAGGCGGGCACTACACAGTGGCCCTCTGTGAGGAATCAGAGCTGGCACTGCCCAAGAAGCCACAGCACCATCTCCATGAACTCACTCACTCCTCATCTCACTTCTGTCTGCTTCCGGCAGGTCTGCAGCCTCTCCCTCAAATTAAACAGCAGTGGGGCCAGACCTGCTGCCTCCCTAGTGCCACCAAAACCACAGAGGCACAGACTGTGCAGCTCCCCGCCAGTGGGAGCAGAAGTTTCCACATGTTCCAGGAGTAACAAGGAAAGGTCAGGGAGTGCATGCTGGCAAGGACCATGAATAACAACAGAGCATCTAGCTTTTGGCAGATGGGGCTCTGCTGTTAGCTTAATGTTTATCAGATATTTTGTATCCCTTCACTTTTCTGATGGTGTGCAGCTGAGGTGGGGGACAGTAGAGGGGTTGCAAGCTAAGCTGGAAAATGTTAGAGGACCTCATGGGAGAGGATGAGGCTGAAGGTGAGGGTGAAGCCAGCCAGCACCAAGCCCCTTGACAAGGCTGGGGTGAGAGCGGACAAGCGGGAGCAGTGGTTCCTCCAGCAGCTCCGCACAAAGGTGTGCTTGTCCACACAGCCTTGTGTAAGAGCAATCAGCAGGGCTGGATCACATCTGACTCTCCTGAAAAGCCCACAGGGTAAACATTGCCTAAAAGTTCCTAAAGTATGTGGGAGAAACAGTAAGGGCCCCAGAATGGGGAGAGAAACTCTTGGCAGCACTTGGTGCGAGCCATGTGACCCCATTATCTGCTGACCTGCAGCATTTTTGGATGTAAACAGCATATGCTGGGAATAAATATTTATGAAAAACCAAGCTACCTTAGGGAAGCTGGGAGGGCTTTGGGCCAGAGACTGCAAGAGGCACTGTTAAATGCAGCACCTCGATAGAGCTCCAGAGCATCTGGAAAAAAAAAACTTCAACAACATCTGTACTGACAATCAGGGTGGAGAGGACCAGCTGAACAGCTGAGGAATTCTCAGTCAGGGAGACAGCCTGGGTGCCTAACAGGACATCATGCAGTGAGAACCCAAAGCATCAACAGAAATGCTTAAAGAAGAGACATTGTCCCATGAATTGCAGAAGGACCTAATAGGGACTCCAAGGTTTCAGAAGGTCTGGGAAATTACAAAGATGAGAACATCATCCCTGCTGATGTGACTTGGGTATTTTTAAAGGGCTGTTAGGCCAGTAGAGCAGGATATAGCAGTCCCCAGCAATATTTTATGATTTCAAAATGTAATTTTCCCTTTTGAAGATGAAAAAACAAAAACATTTTTGTTGTTACAGAAAAAAAAACCCAAATTCTACCATATTTCACTGTGGGTAAAAAATCTTAAATTTCATAACAAAATACTCTCCTACTGGTGGGTTGCAACTGAACTGACTGAATGCATCGGTTCTCTTAGATGATCCTTGAGTTTATCTTGAAAAGGTATAGCCCTGCAACACCTTGGACCATTCTTCTCTGGCACAAGCTGAGCCTGGTCAGCACTGTTGTAACTATCCAGAAGGCCACAAAATATCCCATCAGCAATGATACAATTTCAGCCTTGCAGGAACTGTGGCTTCTTAGACCTCCTGCCTCCACAGCAATGAGACCAGGGAACTGCTGAGATTTCAGAGGAACCTAAATCCTTGGTAAACCTCTACAGCAGAGAGGAGAGCTGGCACCCTACCACTGCCAGTCAGATGGGTGAGGTGATGAAGATGGCAAACATGGAAGCATTCTAAGCCTGATTTTGTGTGTGGTTTGTTTGTTTGGGTTTTTGTTTGGTTGGTTGGTTTGGTGGTGGTAGTTTTTGAACTCATGAATTCTGGAGGAACAATTTTACTTGGGAAGTTCCTAACCCACTCTTGAATATGCATCTGGGCTTACATCAAGCCCTATGTGCTGAGTGACACAGAAATCCTGCCTTCTGAGAGCAGTTTGAGCTTCCATGTTTCTCAAGGCTTGACAAAGACAGGGCATTCTGGCTGAGCTGGCTCTGCAGGCATGGTACAGTGTGGCAAATGTCTATGGGAGGAAGCAGCACTGCCTGCAGAGTAGTAAGAAATGGAGTTCTTTGGTCCCTCAGCATCCCAAATATAATGGAAAGCCAAAGGAACTGTGATGAGCCCCTTCCTCCCACCACACTTATACTCCAGCAAATCTACTTCCAGTCCAAGTGTGGAGCAGCATTGAAGAGCTGTGTGGCTTCCTCAATCCCATCTACACCATTGCTCTGACCCTCGCATACATCTGGATATGCAAATTGGGGCCAGAGGATTCCATGTGAAGAAGGCCAAGCACAAGGGTGAGGACTGAAAGGAGTTGGTCATTACCACAGGGTTGTACTCTGTCACCAGACGGAGCTCATTCATCCGAACAAAGCGAGTCAGGTCCTTGGTATCAACCTCTCTGTTGTTCATATTCAGATCCCGCCGGTCACTGTCTACCTGAAGATAGGCAAAGACACCTACAGTCACAGCTGTCCTCTCCTCTCAGCACCTCCTCCAGAGGTACTGATTGCACTCACTCACAGAGACACCCAACCCCTGGGACACCACCATCCTCTCCCCACCACTACACAATCCCCACCTCTTCCCATCACCACTTCTGGAGGTCTAGAACCTACAGGAACAAGCCTGCACTTTGAGATAAGGATCTCCCAGCCTTCACCAGCCTCCCAAGGACAAGACAAACTCATGGTATAACAGAAATCTCTTAGGATTCCAGACATCCCTACACTACCAGCTCTTGATACACTGGAGACAGTGAGAATTATCTGACAAACTATTCTAGGCATTGTGGAGAGAGGTCATTAAATAGTCTAAGTCCTCACATCAATACTGGCTTTACATCCCTTTTAAAAATCTTCATCTGCTTATTCTGTTTCTTCTACAAGTAATAAACATTGGCATCGCCCGGTATGGAATTCCTGGAAACATTGTGCAAGCAGGAAATTTCTCCAATAAAAAGAGGATTTTTCTTCCAGTACAGCAGGAAAGGAAAAAAAAAGGAAAAAAAGAAAAATAATTAAGCCCAGCATATTTCAGCTTCAGAGGAAAATTCATCCTGCCACACATCTCCCTACACTTCATCCCCTCAAAATGATCTGATTTTATTGAGATTTTCATGACCTAATAAACTGAAAAAAAGCAGGCAACAACTGAATGATAGCAATGCACTAAAGTTTAAGGGCAGAGTTCCTGTACAGTACCACCACAGGATGTGACTGGGTTAAGCCATGGGAGCAGTGGTCTCTGACATGAAGTAGGATCAAAGTTTGGAATTTGAAAGCCATTGATACGCATGTTGAATTAGGTTCTTGGGGCTGAGGAGCAGTCCACATGCACACCCCAGATTTTATTCTCTGCATCTGGACAACCTCTGAAAGTTCTTGTGTTAGTTTTTCCAGTGGTGTGCAGACATCTAAAGTAATTTTTGCTCTTCTGTGGTCATTGGCAAGGTCTTTGATACCAGTCACCCGCCCTGTCTGACAACACAAGCTGGTGATTTTCAGACAGTGTGGCCTGATTAGTCTCACAGGTTTTCCTCCTGCATAAGATGAAAGGGCAGCTCTGCTCAAGTAAGTAAGATCCGGACAGTCTAACACCTGGGTAGGTGAGATCAGACAGGCCTTGAGAACCAATCTAAAGCAGCCTGGACTCTACAGAAAGTCTTCTCTTGGCTTTCATGGGTTTCTGGAAACCACTGACTTCCATTTGGGGATAATAACATCTTTAATCAGCACTCAACATTTATGTTTTTAAGAAAATAAGGCTGGAAAATAGCCTGAATTTAATAGTTGAAGCTCTAGTCAAAATGTCTTTATCACTCCATATAATTAGGTTGTTAGCATCTGTTAACTATGTTCTTTTTAGGTATATCAGGATTCCTTACTCGAGTAAATTGTTTTCTTTCCCCTATATACAAAGAAGTCTCACCAGTGGATACAGTCCCTCCTACTGCTGTAATTATGGTTTAAATTTCTAAGCATTGTGTTTCATACACTGCAAAGGCAAAGAAAAAATTTAATGTATGCCTCTGATTCACTTCTATCCTGGTGACGCATTTTGTATCCTTCAAGTGAGTATTTGATTCCAAGTTCCTGTATCCGTTCTTTTAAAATTCCTTTTTATCTCTGACCTCTTACTCCTACACATTATACAGCACAGAATAAAAGAAAAAATAATGTGTCTGATAATTTAAGAAAAACTGACAATCAGACAAGTGAATTGTCAGCCATATTTTAACCTGACTAATGTATTCTTGGCTGGGTTTTTTTCCATATTAAAGAAGAGTTCAGTTGCAAAAGCTTGACTCCAAACAAAGAATATTCAATATAATACAAATTCCAACAATCCAAACAATTTATTTTATCAAACTCTCTCCCAGTGCAGTCATTCTCACTATCTGCCACAGTGCAAAAACAAAGGATCTTTTCAATATTTTTGGAAGAAAACCACAATGACTAAGAACCAAAATTGAAATGGGTGTTGCTTCAAATTGCAACATCTAGCAAATAAAAGGTTAAATAAAAGGACCTGCCTAACTATTGCTCACTCTTAGATCATTCTTTTTTAATTATTTGGACAATATCAGTGGTAAACATGGTGCAGGAAATGATGAGGGGGAAAAAGAGAACAAACTGTCCAATCTTTGTACAGGCTGGATCTAGAACTTGGCCAAGCTGCCATATTTAGTTTCCTTAGAACATGTGGTGTGTACCCATTTCTCCCCACCTCAAGCACTTAGAGGTCTGGTGTCACAACACGTCACTGGCTTTTAGGACATCTTGTGCTGCCTGGGGCCCTGGTCTTCTTCAGACGCACCTACCTCTGCAGTTTCCAACTGCCATGCTTGTGCGAGAAGGAACAATGTGGGGAAATTGATGTAACCAGTAGAATACTTGCTCTTAGCTTTTCTTGGTACTTTTGCAGCAAGTACATGGCTCTTCCCATCATCATCTCCTTAAATTTCAGCACATATAGCTACATTGAGGCTACATTGAGCTACCTGCACTTAGAGCTTAGATCAAAGAGATATGATCTAGCACAGCATCCATCCCTAAGAAACTCACAAGCAAGATTTCTAATGCCTAAAGCATCTTTTGGAAATGAGGCTGCAAACCACAGTGTAGGTTGGTACAGTAGCTCTAAACTGCAGAGACCTAGTCTGGATGTGTCTTCTGTCATGAGGGAAAAGTTTTGTACCCTAGGAGATGGCTTTGCCTGTCTGAAGTGACACTTGCCAAGTTTTGGTATCAAGCCTGCTGTGTTGATCCATTGTGACATGAACTCTAGACGCTTTTCATGTGTCTCAGGACCCTTTCCAGAACCACAGAAACCTCATCCAAGTTAATGCCAAGCTCCAGGCAGATCATGTAGAAACACAGGCTCGCCGCGGGCCCACGCACCGTGCGGAACAGCGCGACCGTGTTCTCCGCGGCGCCGTAGTGGGACAGCACGGCGGCGCTGCTGCTGAGGCCGAAGGGCACCTCCGGGACCTGTCCGGCCGCCAGGCGAAACTTCTCCGCTTCGGGGCTCTGCGGGTCCTGCGGGGCAGAGGAGGGAGGTGAGGGGGCAAGCGGATGAGAGGCCGAGCCTGAACGGGGCCCCGGCGGCCGCCCGGGCGCGGATACGGACACGGGCACGGATACCGGCACCGGCACCGGCACCGGCGGCACGGGCACCGGCACGGGCACGGATACCGGCACCGGCACCGGCACCGGCGGCACGGGCACGGGCACGGGCACGGATACCGGCACCGGCACCGGCACCGGCGGCACGGGCACGGGCACGGGCACGGATACCGGCACCGGCACCGGCACCGGCACCGGCACCGGCACGGGCGGCACGGGCGCGACACCTGCCGGCCGCTCGGTCCCGCCGGAGCGGCCGCCGCCGCCGCCTCCCGCGCGGGCGGGCTGCTCCGGGATCCCGGAACCCGCCAGGATGGTGCTGAGCCCCTGGGCACTCATCAGAACATAGGTGTAATATGTGCATACATGTATGTGCGTGTGTATGTAAGTGTGTGTTTATAAAATATATACATATATATAAACGTTGCCGTTTTTATGCTAACATTGATTCTAGAGTCAGGGGGGTGCAATTTTGAACGCCTTATATTATCAGTACGGTGGCTCCTTTTAAAAGGATATCTTAGGTAAGTCTTGTAAAAAGTAGCTAATTCAGGTACATCGAAGGCGAGAAATGTGCAATTTCTCATATTTTGAGGTCCATTCTCTTTCTTGCAGAGAGCATTAACTACTACTATCCTTTGCCTGTATTAATGCCTTTCTTGCTGTTCCCATTCTTAACTTTTTACTGATGTATTTTTGATACATCTATTCATTGGATATAAATTCTCAAGACATGGTCTCTGCTTGGAAATTGGTTTGTTTTTCTTTTTAGTTTGAACGGTCAGCTCAGCTGTTTGTGAGCCCAGAGAGAATGGAAAACAAAATTCTTTGTTCATTCCAAAGAAAAACATCTCTCATGACCTGTTTTGGAAATGCCAGCACATCAACATTGCTCTGGTGAGAGTGCTAAAGCCTAGGGTGGTAATAATCTCGCTGAGTTTTGGAGCATTCCTGGGAAACCTGGGGTTTAATCAGGCTGAGCATGGCTCTTTCTCAGAGACACGCGGGGTTTCTGGAGCAGTGTGCTCTGTTTCCATCACGGCATGCTGCTCCCAGTCAGGGACGCCGTGCTCATTATACGGGAAGTTTGCCGAGCCACATACTGCAGTGAACTGAAAGGCTGTAGCAGAGAAATAATTTACGGTGAGCAGAGAACATGGGCTTTTATTTGGATGAATATCCTTTCAGGCCTAGAGCCAAGCCTTCATGGCACACATACATCTTCATCTACTGTTAAATGCAGCCCGGTTATGCTTCAGGCACTGAATGCCCGAGATGTGGCTGGCTACTGCCTCGTGCTCCTGGCAGCTGGGGCTGCTCGGCAGCAGCCTCCTGTCTGGCTCTGAAGAATGCAGTCCTGCAGAGGGAGGTCACTGTGGCACAAGACAAAAGGAGCCGTGTCCCTGCTCAGCTCAGGAGGAGGCTCTGGGTACAGCTCTGCTGCAAGCCCAGCCAGCTACCCTGGGGAAGGAGGCGTCTCAGCACTTTCATTCTGCGTGTGCATATTGCCTGGCTGCTTTGCACAGCTTTATCGCTGCAAGAGCAGCCCCCAAGGAGCTCCTATTGCCTGCAGGCAGCAAAGTCGAGGCGGCTGGTGCTCTGTGATCAGTGCTTACAAGGCCTCCGGGGCATAAGCCTTCTGCACTCACAGACTGGTTGATGCTCGCACTGCAAAGGCAGCACCATCGGTCCTCACTCTGTGGTGGGCTGTGAGATGTCCTTGCCCTGTACCAAGAGCATGACGCCCTCCCTAGACTGCCCTCCAGCCCCAGGCACAGGGCAGAAGGAGGAAGGTGCTTGCAGAAGGACCGGTTTTTGAAAGTCTGAATCCTTCTCTGACATGAGGTAGTGTGTGGACAGCAGAAAACTAGAACAGAGGTCAAAAAAAACATGGAAAAAGGTGCAACTTGGGGACTTTAAAGTAATAAGGATCCTGTTAAACACGCTTCTGTTTTACAGTGCTGCTGTAGCTGAATAAATATATTCCTTTTATTTTCTAAGGAAAAATACTCATGCTATTTTGGGGGGGGGGTGGTAAGGGACTCAAATCTGTCACTCATTTTTGAATTCAGTGGAATTTAGATAAAAAGAGACAGATCTCAAGGGTATCTACACTGGGAAACAAAGAAGTGAAACAGAGACCATGCCTACATCCTCCCTACAAAGAGTCTGCAGCCTGAGCCCAAACCCTCTCTGACTTCAGTGGACCTGTACTATCACTTCTCCCTGAGACTTGGCTTCCTCATCCCTATCACACAGGCAGTGCCGTACTCTGCCTTTGCTGACTACAGCATGCACTGACGTTTCCATTCACCCCTCATCAACACTGTTTCTCTACCATGCACGTTTCTTTGTTTCTTCCCTTGCAGCATTTCCTTCTCTTCTGCTCCAGGGCTCCTACAACCTCCTTCATCTTCATCCCTTGCTCTATCTCCTTTTCCATGCACAGACCAAAATCCCTGTGCTTTCTCTGTGTCCCATCACCTTATCCCTCCACATGCCTGTCACAGCCCCAGCATCTTTTGGGACAACTGCTGCTTTGGTTTATTTTACACCACATCCAGCCTCATGTTCACATAAGAGTGGGATAGAACTCAAAACTGGCAGAGGGGAGGTGCTGTGAACAAACCTGGAAAAATCCAATGACTGCCACCTCTGCACCACTGATGAAGGCTTCAGCATCTGGGATCTTGTTTAACAGGATGGGTTTGTCTGTGGCGCTGGCTGTGCCTGCAGAGCAAAGGCCAGGTTTGGGCAGAGTGTACACAACGACCAGCTCAAAGAGGATCCCCCCAACACACACACACAAGCATCCCGACCCTACAAGCTCACCCACATACCTCTCTTGCAAGTTCTACACATTTGTGCAGCATACCTTGGATAAGGAGGACTCCCAGATTTTCCCCAAGGCAGGAAAAAGCTCACTTACTGTGGGACGCAGAGTCACTCCCTTCAGCACACCCTGCTGGGGAGCATCTGGTAAGCAGGATAACAAAGAGACACGGGAAGACAGATGTGCCCATGGTACCAGCTTGCCTTCTCCTCACCATGCCACCCTGCTCTGGTCCTCTCCTCGGCGAGAGACACGTCAGCTGCTGTGGGGACCCACAACCTTCCTGGGGTGGTGGGAAGGGAGCAGCTGGCCCAGAGCAAAGCCTTCAGTTCCTGAGATAACTGCCTGGCTGGAGAAAGCCCCTCCCTGCCGTGCAGGAATCGGCCTTGGAGAGCTGCACCAACACCGCCGTGGTGTGTCCTCACCCACAGCACTGGACTTCGCAGCTGCCCTGCACCTTTGTGACCAGACACCCCAGCTAGGTTAAGAACATCCCTCTCCAGGTGCTGGATTCCAGAGGCTGATGTTCCCTTGTGCTTGGCTAGCAGGCTAGTCACGAGGACATGCAACTCTTACATTAGCTCTGGGGAACAGCTGCTATGGTAAGTGCTAAACATGAGAGGGGTATGTTATAGCTCCCTGGCTGATTCAGCTGCCATCTGGGAGAGGTGGGGGCTGTCTACCCCTGGAGTCTACCCCCATCACAGGCCAGACTTTGGGCTTCAAAGGATTAATGGAATCCCTGAAGGAAACTGTTCTGAAATAATTTGCTTATAGAGTAAGGCTGCTGCTTTGAAGGAGGAGGGCTATTTCCCTGCTGAAATACACTCATAAGCCTTCCCATACTGCATTCTTCACACACACATCACTGAGAAACATGCTCTAGAAAAGAATGTGACACTCATGCAGAAAAGAAGAAAGAAACTGGTTTTATTCTCAGACACTGAAGTCTTGTTACGACATCTAGCTGCATTCCCCCTGACTGGCTTTGCCTGCACAAGGATGGATTTTAACAGGGTAGGGCACCAGATACAGACCAGGAGACCATTGTAAGTAACTCTTTACAATGAGTCAGAGCACATGGCAAGTGTAATTCAAGATAGGGATTTTCCAAGGACCAGTCCACCCCTGCCAGGTGATCTTGTTTCCTCAAAAAGGCACTTCCAGGACTGGAGTTGGTATGGAAGAGTTGGGGACAACAGGAGGAAGTACTGGGGGAGAGGGAGAGAGATGTTTCCCAATTTAACCCATTATGGTGTCATGATGGGGTGGTGGTGAGAACTGTTGGGTTGTTTTCAGTGTATCAGAAGAAGCAGCAAAGGCCTGGAGATTGGTGCAGGAGGCAAGGGGATGGGGGAAGGCAAACTGGGTGAACTCATTCTGTCCATTCCTTCTTGATGGACAGGTTCCACTCCCAGGTGAGATGGTCGTGCTTGTCATCATCCGTGAAGAAGGATTTGTTGTGATAGGTGCCTCGAGCCAGCATACCCTTAGGAGCCTCTTCAATAGGCGTCAGGAACTCGTACTCCTCTGGCTGCGGCCCATAGCTGCCAACCATGAACGTGGCTTTGTCCACTAGGAGAAAATAATCCACAGGGAATAAGCCCCTCAGATGGGGAGTGATAAGGGAGAGAGGAAGCCATGAGTAAAAGAGCAGAAAGGAGATGGGGGGAAAAGGAACAGCCCGTGTCAGCAAAGGAGAGGAAAAATCAGTGGATTAGTGAAGCATAAGGACAGCTGGAAGGATAACACAGATGGGCAGGCAACTCATTTTGTACACTCTCACATGCATGCACTTGTCCTGGTTTGAGACAAATTTGAGAGAAAACAGAACATTTTGGCTACTAAAAGGGCATGAGTACACCCAGTATATGGCTCAAGATCTACTTTGATTTCCCACTACTTCTCCTTCCTGGTGAGAAGATACCAGTTACGTGTGCTGAACAGGATGCTGAAGCCTCAGAGGTGGTTGCACAAAAATGCATGTGGGGGGTGTGTGTGCATAATGGGGCTTTCTCTGCCTTGTCCAAGAGCAGCACTGAGGAGAACCCACAGGCAAATACAGGGCCCTGCACACAATGGAAGTTTCATAGAGCAGGTCTGAATTTCACCAAGTACTTCTGAAGAGCTTTCAGAGGGTGGGAAGCTCCACACAGGCTGAGCCACTGCACAGCAGGTGGAGGGGAAGAGAAGAGCTCTGTATGGAGAGGCAATCTGTGGCAAGCACTGTCCAGGCAGAGTCTCTGTGGACTTCGCTGCTGCAGACAGGGGTGTAGCATACAGATATCAGAGCTGGCTTATACTGAGCTCACACAAAACAAGAAACCACGGTCCTGGGTGAAGCAGGCTTACACATTCTGCTGAGAAGCCACCTCCTGAGTGTTAGCCCAGGGTGGGACTTGGCACCAAGGGAGCCTGTGTCCCAGTCCAGGCCTGCAGGAACACTTGTTCCAGAAGAGGGAACACACAGGTAGGAGCAGTGTTGTGCATGGCATGCAGGGCTCTTACTCACCCTTCACCCCTGTCCGGTAGGTGTGCTGCACATATTTCAGTCCTGACACAATGTCCCTGTTTACCTGCAGGAAGCAACCAGAAGTGTCAAGAGAAGAGTTTTGGTTCTGTATCTGTTGATTTTCCCCCTCCTTAGGGACATACCCATCTTGGCTCCCTACCCAAGGGAGCCTCAGCACAGGGCACATCGTACAAGTCCCTAAAACATCTTCTCCATAGGTACCCAAAGACCTTTAGCATCCTCTGTGCATCTCCTGCACTTCCCCATCCTTTGCTCAACCTTGAAGCTGACTGGAGCACATCAGTAAGGTTCTCAGGACATGCTGATGAGGAGAAAGAAAAGTGAAGCAGGGATTTCCTGTTTAATAATTTTCATACTGATAACAATACATGGGTGACTAGAGTCATCCCTTCAGCCCCAATGGGTCGGCAGCTTCCAGGTGTCCTCTAAGCTCCATGGGGAGCTGGCAAGTTTCTTCTCAAAAGACAGAGGGAGAGTTTTCATAATCTTTTCTCAAATCTCCCATGGATAGCTTGGATGTATCCACTGCTGCTCCCCTCCAGCACACACTGCCATCCCACAGTGTACACTACTCAATCTGAAAACAAGATGGACAGATCCTTTTACATACCAGGGTAGAATTCACACAGTATAAGCCTTACAAGCCATGGAACTGAGGGAAGGAATTAGAATAATTTGTCTGGTTTCAGGTATCTCTGGTCAACAAGGCACAAATACAGATGGAAATATTTCACAGCACAAAAGAGAGCTGGAGGTGTCTCAGGGGAGAGCATTTGGGGACATTCTTCTCTGAGACAGCAAGCCTCAGAGAAGAAGGGAAATCCGCCCTACAGAACCCACAGTATTAACACCTTCCCTCATCTGTCTCAGGAGAATTATCTTTCTTCCTTTTTTTGCCTTCTCTTCCAAGCCCTGCTTTGAAGCAAGCACTTGCAGAGATGATCGGTTCAGTGCTGGATGCCACACTGCAGGATGGTCAAGTTTCATTTTCAGCTGTAAACAGAAGAAATGGCTGACACACTGATTAATGGGAGTGAGGGAGATATGAGCCCATTTAGGTGTATCACAACCTGAAGAATTCAGGTATCTTCAGCCAAATGCTACAATATTTCATTTTTTTTTTAATGTGTACATGAAGCCCAGTATTACTGGCTTCATACATAGCCATTCTCCTCTTCTCTTCTCTTCTCTTCTCTTCTCTTCTCTTCTCTTCTCTTCTCTTCTCTTCTCTTCTCTTCTCTTCTCTTCTCTTCTTCTCTTCTCTTTTTTCTCCCTGTTCATTTCCACTTAATGTGAAGTAAAGATTTTTCAGTGGCTAAAAAGCAAAACCAAACTCAGCCAAAACTACCCATCTGGCTTTTAAACCACTTGTTGTTTATCAGTGTGAGCAAACAGAAACCAACTTCCTCCAAGGGGTGAACAAGCAGAAGTGATTTCCTGGAGATACTTCATCCCTTGTTGGGTAGAACAACACCTGAAGGTAGGGGAGCTTTGCAAGCATTCAGCTTTTGGGAAGGCATTCTGTCTGGCTCTAGTTATCTGATAGACTGACTGCCACTGACTGGCCTTAGCAACTGATAAGAAGCAACTGGAAGGAAAACAACTCACTCTGAAGTGGATCTTAACTCTGTATTCCACCCCTTCCTTTAATACGAAGGTCTCTTTCTTGAGTGCTTCGAGGTCACCTGCAAGAAGAGAATCAAGCTGTCAGCTAGGGATGTCACAGCCAGGAGAGACCAGGCACTGAGGGGAAGATGGGGGTGGGGCTGCTGTCAGAGATGAGCATCCCTTCAAAGGAGGACACCTGTAAAATGAGTACAGAGGCATCTGTGTAAGATCGTGTTGTGTGACCAAATACACAGAAATTCCTGGGTGTTCGTATGTATCTGTGCCCACAGAAGATAATGCCTCAACAAACACAGGTCTAAGTACATATACACAAAGATGTTTATGCACAGACTTGTTGCTGAGCATTCGCAGGAGTGTGTGTAAGCTCCATCCATGCCCAAGCCTGGCTTGGGTGAGAGGAGCGTGTTCCACAGCTCCTGCCCATCCTGGAAGGTTGCCTGGGCCCCGCAGGGCTCTGTGTGGTTTTGGGCAAACAGGAAGCCTCTCTGCCTCTCCAGGCCCAGCTTCCTCTCTCTGCAGAAAAGCCCTTATAAGGTTCTCTCCCCGTGCCCCCAGGAGCCGGAACTGCAGTATTGCTCGATTCTGAAGTTTCAATACAGCCTGTTACCCAAATGCATGCACATCCCTTTTGCTCATGAAGTGTCATTGAAAGGAAGCAAGCAGAGATGGTTAAGAGAAACCCAGGAGCTCCTAGAGCAGTCTAGATGAAGGAAAAACTCTCAGTATTTTCCTCTGTTACATCTCCTTCTTTTTTATTCATATATGTATACCTTAAAATAAGAAACAAAGCTAAGATGACTTCAGAATTCCTCTAAAACCCACTGTAGCATCCCAAGGACAAACTCTCTTTTAACTTGGAGCATGCCAGGGCTTTTGCTTGTTCCCCTCTGTGGCCAAGGGCAGAGCCTGTGCCTACCTGTAAGGTCCATAGTGATTGGTCCTGGAGCGGAGTCACATACCAGAGTGAGTCGGGTGACCACCACATTGGGAGCTGTTGGGTCTGCAGGTAGGAAAAGTCAGGGGGAAGCTGTCAGCTTGTAAAATCAAATGCAATCAGAGGGGAATGACACTGAAGAAACAGGGATGCCGTGCCACACAGAAACTGCATTTCATGAAACACCCAGTAATGCCAGGCTTCCTTAGCACAACAGGACCACATGTCTACCCAGACCTTCCACATGGATCCCTCTGGCCTTCATCAGAATACCTAGAGGTGGTATTTCCACTGCAGAAAATTTCCTTCTTAGAATCCTTCTGAGCAACAAGACCACCTTTCAGCATAGGCTGATCCCTTCATAACTCCCAAAACTCCTCTGAGACTGACACATCTCCCACAAGTCCTTTTCTGATGCCAGCACTCTCCAGTAATCTTCCTAATTCCCAACACTCAGAGCATCTTCTGTGCTTCCTTTATCTGCAGCTTTCCACCTGCCCATCCCCAGTGCTCCAGCACAAGCAGTGTATGTCCCTGGCCAAAGAAGGTCCATCTTCTTTGAAGCAACAGCACACTGTTGCAGCACATCTCCCCAGTCCCTCCC